CCACTGCCACTGCCACTGCCACTGTGACTGCTACTGCTACGGCTACGAGTACGACTACGACTACTACGACGACGACGACGACCACGACTACGACCACGACCACTAGAAAGAGCACGACCACTACCAGACTGAATCGAAATCACTGAGAGTGTAGGGTCTTTAGGCTTTAACTTTGGGTGTATTTATCGTTTGGAGCTCGAGGGTTCACTGGGAACTTGCCGGGTCTGGGCCCTAAGAGCAAGGCTGCAGGGTTGCGTCAGGATTCTGGCGACGAGGACTTGCGTCTCAGGTCGAGCGTGACCGTCACTCTGTCAAGATTCCCGGTTGACCCTAATAAAACCAAACAAGTCAGTTTAGGGCCTGGGGTTGAGCTCGGATACATTCGGAATCAGTTCTCTGACTTTCCGAGACCGTTGCATCCAAGATGCCGCGAGGCCGGTTGCACCTCCAGAAACTCCAAGCGTGGCCGCACCGCCAACGACTCCAGCCGCGGTGGCCTCGAGATTCGAGATGCGGGCTAAAGATCGCTGGATGGACTGTGATAGCGTGCTGCTTCACGGAGCGAAATTATGCCCATGGAGCTCGCCTGCACGTGCTTGTCGTTGACCACCTGAACAGCAACGACCGGTCGTGTCTCAGCTGCAGCTGAAAATCTTCCTGACGAAAACGCATCTTCTTGCAAGGAGGGCCGCCATCTCATCTGATCGAACCCGACCAAATCCGATCTCTTCCCCGGAGACCCGGAACCCGAAGCCATGATTCATAATCCCACTCGCCTCCTTTGCCTTGTCCTTGGCCTCTACCGCCTTTGTCTTGGCGTTGTCAACGGCTTTCGCCTCAGATCATGGGGGCCTGATCTCCATTGAAACAAGCCGATGCGGTACGACAGCATACCTCGGAGATGCCAGCTGTCCGAGACGGCGACATGCGATATCATGACATGATAAGCCGGTGCATCTGGTGCATGCCCTGCAAGCTGCTATGGTCATTTGATGAGCACGAGAACGGCCCAGCACTTGTTTCGTGAACCACAGATGAGAACGTAGAAGGAGCTCCCATACGTCCGCTCTTGTAATGAATTGCAGATGCGCCGCAGCATTGCTCTTCCCCTTGGCCTCGCAGCTCGCAGCTAATTTTCGGCAAAGAACCAAAGGAACTTGCTTTCAAGTCTAGACTCTAGACTCTTCTCTGTGGCGCTGGCTGCGCATGTAGCAGCGAGGGCTTCGGGAAGCTACGGGCAAATGGAAAAGTCGCAAGGTCCGCAAAGAGACCTAGATTAAATACCAGTTCATTTCAGTATGCCACAATGCCACATGCGAGAACGGCTACCGACCGCTGACGAGCAACAACATGTCGTCCTTTTCCGAGCCCGGCCAAATGCGATCGCACTGTCTGCCGTACTAAAGCTGAGTAGCAGAACACTGGCACTCAACTGCATCAACAGCATGATTGGTCAGGATCAAAATCTAGTCTAGAGACTGGATGTCACATCAGACTGGACAGCGCTGCGGGAGAATGGACAGCGCTCCGCAGGAGAACAGATGTGAGAGCGAGATCTTCGCCCAAGCGGTCCTTATGGCACTTTGTACACAGCTAAGCGAGCTGCTCCGCCGAGAGGATATGAGTTCCGGGCCACTTCCGCCTTGCAATCGTCGTAGTCAGCCCTGGTCATGTCCGGAAGCGAGTCCAGAAGCATACACTGGGCGGTGTTGTCCTGAGCAGAGCCCTGAGGATATTCCATGCCAAAGTAGGCTTTGTTCTGCTTCGCTGCTTCCTCGACGCAATCAACCAGCGTCTTGACACCGGAATTGGGTTCCTGGCGCTTGTCCCCTTCGTTCTTGAAGCATCCAGAAAAGGCGATGGGCTTGCCGGCAAGATCATTGCGGTGATCAGGAACGATGTAGACCGCCACCCGGTTCGCATCTCCGAGAGGGAAGAGATTCATGAGCAGCTCTTTCTGGCAGCTGCCAGGGTCAGCCTTATCACCAGGAACATCATTGAGGAGCAGGCACTCCGCCACACCATCTTCCGCGTGTCCTTGAGGATACTCCATGCCGCAACCCGCGTACCCGCCGAACTGGGCTTTCAACAGGCACAGGCCGAGCTTCATCGCACCAATGTGTTTCTTTCGTGTGCTGCCTTCGTTCTTCCAACAGCCAAGGAAAACCAAAGCTTTGGGCTCTGTTCTGTCACGCGAAGCGTCTTGCCCTGGTCCTTTCCCTCCCGTCTCACAAATGATGATTGGCCGCCGGCTCCCACCGCCATGCGGGCATGGCTGGCCTGGCTCGCCCCTATGCTCGGAAGCATGGATACGATCACCACGAAGTAACCGAAGCACGAGGCGCCGAGCATGATGGATCAGATTGATCAGAAAAGAAATGGAATGGGTCAGGAACAACTATCTGACTATATTTGGGCCAGAGGTGATCCACGTGTCGGCTGCGCTCAGACTCTCGGCAACAGACTAGACACCGCTTCGGCGCGTCCGCGTCTGCCTACGCCCGATACATCGTCCTAGCTCAAGCACTTCGGCACTAATCCAACTCAAGAGTGCCAGCATGCCAGCACAAAGTGGGTGATCATTGGGCTGCTTCTGGAGCGAGCTTACTCGTCGAACAACCTTTCCGAGGCTCCGGCATAAGTGTCCAGCACAGTCTTCTTGGTGTTGAGCATGCGTGTCTGGATGCCGGTTTTCACCTTCGGCTGGGATCTGGGGGTTGGTCCGGTGTGGTTCTACGAGGACGAGGCGGCAGAAATCTCAAAACGGCACAAACAACAATAGCAATACTCATAGCAAACTCGCTGAACCCGGCTAAAGCTCTCAAACAGCCTCAAACTCAGATCAGAAGGTTGAACAATGGGACTCGAAACCCCAACCTCTCTCCAAAGAGCTGACACTAAAGCTTTGCTCTAGGCCCTAAACTCCCTATCCGCAAGCTTCCAAGCCCGAATCCCAAGTAACCTGAACCTAAACTCTCGGGCCATAGCGCGATGTGGGAGTTTCCGAAAACAGGGGACCCTAATATAGTACCCTAAATAGTAGGATCCTTATTGTAAGGACCCCTAAATAAGGTACCCCGTACTTTCGGAAACTCTCATGTGGTAAACCAAGCTCTTTGCCGCCATGGGGCGGACTGAGTCATCGCCTTCGTCGTGTCCACAGACCATTGGACCTGACCTCGCAAGATGGGTTTTGCTGGAGGGGGTGTTGCGCGACTTCGGAGTAATTGGAAGCAACATACGTCGGTTCGTGCGTAGCATAGGTTGCAAGCTAAGGTACGATCATGGCAACCGGGATGTAGCATCTAGCATGACACAATGCAGTTAAATGTCGTACGGTTATGCAGAGACAGTGCGAACAATAAATACAAGAGCAACGGAACGATCGCCTTTGCAATGCAGCACATCGAAATCCAGTGTAATATATCACAACCGACTGCATGCGCAGTTTTATTTTCACAGTACGGTATCGACTGCCCTATGCGGAATGCAGTGTGGTATCGGGCTCTCCTCTGCATCTACCCCACCCCACCGTGACTTCGAGCATGAAGCTTTCGTAACGCATGCATTGGCTATTGGCGAGACAAGAAACGCCCAAATGATATGCAACTCAGCAACTCCCTCACCTCGTGAGTCAACTCTCGATATAGAGTATAGAACTGGAGCAGATTCTGCTTCTGAGCAACTTCGATCAGAAGCACTTACCAGCCCCTCTCTATCCCTCAGCCCTGAACAGGAAAGAACAAGTCGTATTCGCTTTGTCAGGTAAGTCTCGCATGGCAGCAGCACGCGATTTCTGTACGGCAGCGGTCGCCAGACTCCTTCATGGGACTTAGGCTTAGGGCGTTTAGGGGACCTGGGAGTCGATGGTCTTCGAAAGCTGAGTCGGAGAGAAGGCTACCAAGCCAAGATCGGATCGGGATTGCTTGTGTGAACAAGTTCCAAGGGCTTCTGGCCCTAGTGCACCTAGAAGTCTCAGACCTTGCTGTCTGAACGTTCTCGGCAACCCAGGATCGCACACCGTTGGTGCGCAGGGAGGTGTAGCTGGCACCTCGGTGTCAAAGCGGAAGGTCGAAAGTCATGGGGAAGGACTCCAGACTCTTGTTTCACAGGTTCGTGCCCCCTTGTACATCCTCTGCGTCGGTGCGAAAAGGAGTTCTTGCCGCTCTGTGCAGGCTTGAAACGCACCTAGGATAGTGCCAGTTCGCTTGTGCTGGCGAGGTAATCACCCAGTAAACCTGCAGACTTGCGTGGCTCCAACCCCTCCGAATGCAGCACCGCGCAAGCAGGGACGACACATCAGTTACCGCAACTCGAAATCCTGAAGCACAAGCGCATGCCCAGCCAACGACTGCAAAAGCGCCTTGATAACCTGCAGCCACACCACCCGTGAAGGACACGCAAAGAAATCAGAGAAGTTGCAATGCAATTGTTAAGAAAACTGACAAAATAGGTAGGTGTTCGCCACCTGCCACAAATTGTAGTGTGAGCAGAAACGAGTACTTAAGGCCCTGACCCACGGCCTCCTTGGCCATCTGTGCTCGACGGACACCGGCGTCCTACACAAAGCAAAACCACGACTTTGACATGCTCACATTTGTCAGTTGAGTCAAGCTGGAAATTCGCTCGAGATAACCGCTATACCCAAAAGCAGCAGAAGCCAGCGGCCACCACAACACCACCACCACCACCATCACCACCACCACCACCACCACCACCACCACCACCACCACCACCACCACCACCAATAACAACAACAAAAACAACAACCGCACCGGCCCCAGCAGCAGCAGCAGCAGGACAGCAGCTACCCCTGATGCAGCTGCTGCCACCGCTGCAAGCGGATCTAGGCCTTCGCTTCGGAAGCGGAGGCGACGACAGATTGCCTGCAGGCAGTTTTGTCTTTCGGCTTCACCTCCCGTGTGCCATGCTCAACCCCTGCACCCTCTTAAAGTCGGTGGACGACTTTCTCCATGGCCTGGGATAGTGTAGGAGTGTAGCAGTAGCGGCTGGTAGCTCCTACTTAGACCCTGAAACTACACTGTGAGTTCATACCTCAAGCTCTCCTAATCTGACTCCCCTTGTCAAGGGCCTCTAGTTTCCAAAGAGCCGAGCCTCATCTGCCCGGCTTTGGCCTTCAAGGAATGCACTGACTCCACCGCACGCACCTCGAGAACGAGGTCACGACTTGGGGCACTCGACTAGAATCCTTTTTCGCAGTTTCATGTTCAAACGTCAGTGCTTCTAAAAACGGCTCATGCCATGGCTTCAGGCTTCGACCTGTACATAAGGGCTTCTGCGAATTATGGACCAGCTGTTTCGCCGCCGGCTCTTGTTCAGGACAGGGTCTATTTGGCAGATGGCTTGTCAAAGGCTGATGGTTTTAGGGCCTACCGCTCCGTAGTGTGGCACACCGTGCGACGTTGCGCAGTGCTGCCGTGGTGGTGGTGGTGGTGGTGCTGGTGGTGGTGGTGGTGGTGGTGGTGGTGGTCCCAAACATGAAGAAGAAGCGTCGCTGCGTCGCTGTGGCTCCTTGTCGACGCAAAAGCAATTGGGCATGCGTCTCAGTGATATGCCCAACACGTACCAGAATGTGTTCTTAGCTCGTCCAGTCTTACATAGCCTAAACGCTGAGCCTTCAAGCAACCTTACAGCAACCTGAGACTCCGAATCGGCCCCGCTAACTTGACTGTGTGTAGACATATATGTAAACAATGACCCATACATTTTAAACAACTTCCGACACGACCCAAACCCTGAACCCAAAACTCTATAGACCCTAGACTCTAGCCTGTAGGTCTAAATTTTTCTGTCAAACCTCACGAGAAGCAACAAAAAACTACAATCAGAACGTACCCCAGACCCTCAACCCCCTGAAGCCCCAGAACCCATCTCGTTTCCTTGAAGAATTTTTCAGAACTTTTCAGGACACCCCCAAAAAGTAAACCCTAAACCCTAAACCCTAAACCCCTACTGAAACCCCAAAACAGGGGTCAAAGAGCCGCGCCTTCGCAGTCTGAGCCTTCACGGCCGCGAGCTCGGCGACCTCACCGAGGTCACATCGGGTTCAGGGTTTTGGGGGGTTTAGGGGTTTTGGGGTTTTGGGGTTTGGGGGTTTAGGGTTTAGGGGTTTAAGGGTTTGGGGTTTAGGGCTTTACACTCTCACAACTCGGACAAGCCAGGCGAGGATCCATAGGTGCAAAGGTCGG